GTCGACACCTGTAGCAGTCTGGTAGCTGGAGATGAGGTCAGGTTTGTTTCAAGTAATCCCTTATTGGTAAGCACTTCACTTTGCTTGAAGGATTAGGCTGATAGGTGTGAGGAATACACGTAATTATTGGTTAACACAAAATCTTTCAAGCACTAACTTTCAGTCTTTTAGTTTGTAGGTGACCACCAAGACGGAGGCTCTGAGCGCGACGAAGAGTGTAAAGTAGATTAAATGTGATTTGACATGGTTGGTTTTTGATTGATCGTTACACACTAGAAACGACCTTAAAAATTGAAAAATGACTTTTTATTAAATATTGCATTCATGAGTTTAACGAATAATTTTAATACCAACCGAAAGTATGAAGCCTATATAATATACAAACGTTGGGTTGTCTATTTTTTCCTGCCGTAACTACTGGGTTGGCAGGTATAAACAGGTAAATTGATACTAGTTATTTTCACCTATTTGTTTAATAAATAAATCTTATATCAAAATAAGCGCTATTTAATTGCGAACACGATGATATAGGGTTGTCTGTAAAAAAACCGGCCTGAATGGCGGTTGTCGAGTTTTGAAAGGTGAAAATTTTTTGCGAGTGGAAATTTGTGACGAAGAGGTCCGAGCTAAATATCCCGTGCGATAGAAGTGGACGCAGCGTTGTAGCTGCGCGCGACGTGATCGCCGGATGAAAGAGAGCGCGCATGCTATATATTCATGCAACAGAGAAGGATAGCGATATATTAGTAAATACTAAACATTATTTTGGAGCAAATGGCTTTAGAGTTGAGAAAACAACGATAAATATATAATATATTAAATAATAATAGAATGTAATAAATTATTATGGATTTCGATCGGCCGAGGTAAGCATCACGGACGCAGGCTAGAACTTGGATGGGTGACCTAAGGCAGGCTCGGGATGTGGCTGTGGCAGCCTACCAGAGACCTGGGTCGCTGAACAACTTCCGCCTGCGTGTGGTCCTCGATAAAATGGTAATGAGAATAGAGCAATAAATCTCTGTAACTCAAGACCACGCTATCATACATAAAAATTGTACGAGACTTTGCCACCAAACCACCCGTGTAGTAATAGGATGGTTTAAAGAAAAGTACTCGAGTAATGAAAGGGGGGTATACAAGAGCCTATAGCTATACGACATACATACACAATAAAATTATTATATGTGGCATTACAATATATCGCGTGCCTTATGCCAAAAAGGTATAGGTCCACCGTAGGAGCGAAAAAAGCATATGAAAAATTATTTTTAACCGCTTTGAAATCACTTCGAATTAATATATTCTTACAATAAAAGAAATTAATGCCAAAAAGGCAAAGCAGAAAGTCACAAAAATTATAATTTCTTTACCATAGTACCAATATTTGGCCAGAAAACGCGCAGAATATATATGTATATAGGTATAGTATTTTGCTGGTACGCCAGAAACTTGCCGCAGACTTTGCAAATATTGCTACATGGGTGGCTTATTTGCTAACTAAAAATTCTTTAAAGAAATTATAAAAAAATAAAGAATGTGGGAAATTAAAAAAACCGTAGGTGCAAAAAAATATTTTTTTGTTTTTTGGTAATAATTACTTTAATTGAAACTAATTTAATCAACCTAAGAATATCATATTTTTCAGTGTTATATTCTTTCATTATAAATTAAAAGTATCATATATTTTATACTTACTGTATTCTCGGTACTAAAATTTCTAAATTCTTCATTGTATTTATTTCCCGGCAGTGTCCTTTTTATAACATGTGGTATGGTAACCAACAAAATCGAGTGATGCTTTAGCTAGCTCAACTTCGTTGTATTTAAATTATTTTTTTACGAAACGCCAACTTCAATGAACAATTTTTAAAAATTTCATCTTTAAAATCAACCAAAGAATCGTCCGAGTCACACAAAAAACACTTTTTTCTACGTTCATGCAATAAACACAACTTTATTGAACTATATTTACTAGAAAAAGTGGATCTTTATTGCACTAGTGCAATAAATATTTATTGCACTCATCTGTCATTATAGTACAGCGGTTTGTGATCAAGACAAACATAAACATTCAAATGAGCGAAATATTTAGTCCTTTTTCTGTGAGATTGTAATACGTTTCAAAGAATTGCGGATTTTATTTTGTTATCAATCATATTTATTATGTTCTGGATTACGAAATTACTAGAAAATGCATTTTTTTCTAAAATACCATATGATTACAATTTATAAACACAAACGTAAATGCCTCAAACATACGCGATCACGACTACTATGATTTGGATAATGCAACTCTGCAGTTCTAGAAATGTCAGTGAAAATTAATTTTTACATTTAAACAAAGTTTAAAAATGAGTGACATTATTGGAAAAATAGATGATAGTGATGAAGAAGGATCTGTTGGGACCCCACCAGAAGTTAGTGAAATAGCAAATACAGCGTCATTAAACTTATTACCTAGCAAATCAAGAAAACTATATGAAAAAGTTATAATCGTTTTAAAGAGTGGTGATTCGATAAAAAACTTGTAAATCTTACAGAAAATGTGCTTCTACCTAAATAAAACATTTTTTTTTCATGAACGTAGAAAAAATATTGTATGCAACTCGTGCAAAAAGTGTTTATTGCACTCGACGTGTTGTCAAACTCGGCCTAACGGCCTCGTTGGACAAATTCACGTCGCGTGCAATAAACACTTACTTTTTGCACTTGTTGCATAAATAACTATTTAGCCATTTTTCATTACAATATATTGTCAATAAATAACGATACGTAGCAACACGTGTTCTCAATATTTTAAGTTATTAACCACTCCAAAATATTGGTCAGTATTTACTAATGTATCGCTATCCTTCTCTGTTGCATGAACAAATGACATGCGCACTCTCTTTCCTCTGGAGGTCACGTTGCGCGCAGCTGTAATGTTGCATCCTCTTCTATCGCACGGGATATTTAGCTCGGACCTCTTTGTCACAAGTTTCCATTCGCATAAAATTTTCACCTTTCAAAACTCAACAACCGTCATTCAGGCCAAATTTTTTACAGACAACCCTATGTCATCGTGTTCGCAATTAAATAGCGCTTATTTTGATATAAGATTTATTTATTAAACAAATAGGTGAAAATAACTAGTATCAATTTACCTGTTTCTACCTGCCAACCCAGTAGTTACGCCAGGAAAAAATAGACAACCCAACGTTTGTATATTCTATAGGCTTCATACTTTCGGTTGGTATTAAATTTATTCGTTAAACTCATGAGTGCAATATTTAATAAAAAGTAATTTTTCAATTTTTAATTAATATTACTTTGGCCAGTAATTTTTTAGCCAACCCACTCGAGATATATTTTCTAATATATATATTAAACTTGATATAAAATACTTTTCGTCCATTAAACAGATGGGTGAAGGTCGTTTCTAGTGCGGATCCTCACCTTCGTTTTTGTCGAAAAATGTACATTTTATCGGTTTTCAACTATAACTTTTTTTGTATTATTGTTTGAGGTTTTAAATATATCACTCAAACCACCCGTGTCCACGCCACTACTCTATAAGAAATATAAAAAAGTAGTTTTTAATCCGATTTTATGTGAAAACGTTATATCAATATCAAAAGCAAAATTTTAATATAAAAACAATTATTCGTGATTTTAATGAATATTCCGTTCAACAAATAAATTTTAATGTGTTTGGTTTGTTGTCACTATTATTAATTCCACTTTAATTTAAAATCCAGCTGTCAATTTAATGAAAATATGAATTCCCACACAAGCGTGTGTTTTTGTTGCATTAAAAATAATATATTAATTATTAAATTATTTGCAATAAATATTAAAAGCTCGTGATATAGTTTTTATAAAATTAATACAATATATTTTCTGGTTAAAAAATTACCAGCTTTTGTTGTAGGTACCTAAACATAATACATTTTTAATGTCATTTGAATTTTTCAATGTTTCAACTATTCTTATCATTCCCAATGACGCTCAAACATAATTTATCCTACATCATTAAATTAATGACGACACCACCGCGCATTTCCTTTATTAACGAAACAAACGCCGGTAAAATTTATTGCATCATTCACTATAACCAAACACCAGTGTAAAATGTGGAAATAAATCTTCCAAATTTATAGGTAGCATTGATCCTGATAAAAACAACACCAGGTCTTCCAATTTAATTAAAAATACATACACGTTATGTGTATTATACATCGCGATTATGAGAATGAAGGTAAAAATTTACCTTAGCTAAAGTTGCTGCAAATATACGAAAATAATATTTTTTATTAATATACATCCCAGTTGGAGCACTGCTGGAGATTATTAATTTTTTGTTAGTAAAACTGTAGTGTTATTGCTGCTAGTGCTGACTGTAAGTCAGTAATTACTAATTTGTGCTTATATTATACGGCGAATGTAGACAAAATGCTGCGACCGCAGAAAAAATGTACGCGTATCTGTTTTCGGTTTACGCACAACAAGATTATCCTTTACGAGCACCTTTTTACTACTGGTTAACAGTAAATTTCAAGGCCAAGACTTCTCTACTGCAAATTTCTGTCCAGATAAATCGATTTTTTACGTCATACATGGGGAAATAATTCCCACAATACGCACCAGTGGCTTTCTGAATATAAGAGAATAACATTTGGCTCTGTTATTAAATGATCTCCTTTAATGTTATATCAAGTGTTTTTCGTAATGTTTCGTCTTCATCTGTAACGCGATATTTGTGGGTAGACTACCCCCGTTCTTCTGGCTACGTTTTTCATATTTACATTTTTTCGATCCCGCCGAGTCTAAAAATAAAACGAAATATTTCTTTCAAATTAAGAATAACCGATTCTTATACATTTACTGAAATTGTGCGAATTGGAGAACGTCAGTTTTTCTAAGATATTAAGCTATCTCAAATAAAACCAATATTTTTTAAGATCACATCAAATGACTATGTATAATATTCTCTGATACCAGAAATTTAGGTATGCAAAATGGGTACATCCAAGTGCTGCCGTTTATTCAAAAGCAGCAAATTACAATTCTTTTTACAACAAAAAGTAAATTGAATTTCAAACTAACTCCATTTTTATAGAAAATTTGCGTTAGAATGGAGGAAAGTCTGTTGTTTGTGCACAAACTGTGTAATATAATCTACAAAAATATATTGCTGATTGCCTATTTGCTCTAGAACCCTCTTAAGGAAGGTTATTTTTATACATGAATACCTAATACCTAAAAATATAATTTTCCAGTTTATATATACCCTCTATATATTTCACGTTGATAGTAAGGTCATTGCAAATATCTCGAGAAAATTTGTCTAATTGATTTTGAAACTTTTTTTCGTGGAACGACCACCAGAGCCAATAGAAATTGAATTAACTGACATATTCCTTAGGACAAACGAAAAGAATACAATGGAAAATGTAATAATTACTTTTGGATTATCCCCTTCGAAATGCCGGAATTAAGATATCTTAATGCTCCAGAACTCCTTTAGAGGTCTTTGAGAAAAACCGTAGTTGGCATCTTTGTTTTTTTTTTATTGAAATTAAGGTGTTATAGTAAAAATTTGTCACCCATGGAACGTGTTCCTAACCAAATTTAAATACTTTAACTTACTGGAACATAGCAGAGCATAAAACTTTAGTATAAAAAAATATAAACACTAAAACACTACATCACTAAAATTCAAAGTATATTTAGGTTAGTTCTCTCGTAGATAGAATAAAACGTTATAAAAAATAAAAAAATGGAATGTGTCATAAAACATGACCTATAATTATGTTACTTAAATTTAGTTAACTGGAAAATGATTAGTATTTGTCAATGGTGATAATAAGCCAGCAAGCATACAGGATGATTGCATTATTTAAAAATTTCAATATAACAGGTACCTATGTGTTTTTTTTTGTAAAAATTTATATTTAGACTTACCATTTTTAATTTTTATTTTGGATAATTAGTTCATACCAGCTGTTTACTAGATATTAGCGTGGAGTATTTCTATATATTGAATGTATACTAGTTGAAGCATAGCGTACAGAGAAGTTGTTTCCCATAATATCAACAATTAGGAATCTTTTATGTGTGTATATATATTTTTGTAGGTATACCTAAATTTCTGGTATAGAACATTGTTGGCTAGAGTAAAAAAAGTTCATTCTTTAATATGTTATGTTTATTATACCTATTGTGCTGTACATATTTTATTAATTTTAGGTATAATAGGACGTAAGTCCTCGGCCCTAACCAATTTTGTAATAATAATAATAACTAATAAAAAAAAATGTGTTTTAAAAGCAATTGGAACAAAAAAATGTTTGTTCTAAAACAAAAATTCTTATAGCTGCTACTTATTAATTTAACTGGGCACATTGCTATTAAGTCATTTAAAAATATATAAAAAAACTCTATTACATACATTTAGTTTCAAATATTATGTCTAAATCCTGATAAACAGATTTATACCGGCTAATTTCATTAATAAAAGTTTAAAGTTGAAGGAGAACAAATTAACATCGTTGCCGATATAAAAATGAATTGAATAACGAGGAAAAGTTTACGCAACCAAACTTATTTAATATACAATTAGCTGAAAAAATATATATCTTCAAAGCAACTGGACTTTGCCAATATTCAATTTAATATTAAAGTACATTTATCAGACTGGATTTGTTAATTAAAAATACCCTACTAGATGTTTTCCTTTTCGTTTAACTTTCTTAAACGAAATTGTTTTCATTTTCAGTACAAAAAGTTGTATATTTCCAAATATAACGAAGGAAAATGTTTTTTTTTAGTTCATTACTAATATTTCTAAATAAATTCCATTTAGCGTTAGTAACTTTCCTCGTTCCTTCAGCGAAATCAATTTTTTATTTTGTAATTACCACGACGAAAGATTAATTATTCTGTTTGGTTTCATTAAAATCGATAACTAGTGTTTTCTTCCTTCCTGCATTTATAAAAGAGAGACATTAACCCCTTATAGAGCGTTCCAACATGACAAAAACGACATTCACTGAGCTTGGGAATCACTTGTAGACCTGAAAAGAAATTACAAAATCAATTTCGACTGTGAAATCTTCTGAACCAGATTAGAAAGCCGTTTCAAACAAATCCCCTGAAAGGGTAAATTTTATGGAGAGATCATCACATGTCTTTATTACCTTTAATCTGAAAATGGCACCGTGCAAATAAATCACATCTAACCGATCTGGTTTCAATCTAGAGACATGTTCAATCCGATTTGGAAACCGATTGCAAATTCTCCTGTATCGACACGGTTCAGCTAATGCGTTTTGAATTCTCTTGTCATACATTGGCAATAATTTGTATGTGCATGCACATTAAGGGCAATATAATTTTGGGGAATGTTGCGAGTGTCATCATAATGACCAATTTAACGCCATGCAATAATTAAGTATTGGTGGATTTTAATGTATAAATAAGTGTTTTACAATGATTGCGTTATATATAATTTTCAAATTTATTGATTTCGTTAATTTACATCTACTAAACCAAGTTTTTCATTGTACTATTATTATAAAACAGATGTTTAATTAATTGATTTAAATAAGATTCTGTACTATTTATATATTCGGAGATTTATATTTTACTCTAGAGAATATGTGTTATATACTTGATTAATAAATCTTAAATTTATTTTACGTAATTTTCTCTTCACTTAGGTACAGGGTGATTCACTATATTTTGACCGCCCCCCCCCCCATTAACTTTTTTGTTTTCAGAGTTATAAAAAAATGTGAAATACAAAAGTTGCACGATTTTTTATGAAGTTTTCGAAAATGATAGTAGAAAAACAAATGAAGGCCAAACAAAATGGATGCGGATGTTAACATTGTTAATTTAAATGGAACACCCTGTATATTATTACATATGTGGATAGAACTTATATCGTTTTTGTTACTCGTATTCTTCTAGATTTCGTGTTTGCCTTTCATTTCTTTAAATCGCCTACAATAATGAAATAGAGTGGATATATTATCTTTCATCACTCGAATGTAATACATAATTATAGTAGGATCGTATTCGATGCAAAGTAGAGCAAAAAGTTGTCGGTCTTTTATCAAAGGAAAATCGTGTCATCATTTTTAGGAGATGAAGTAAGATGAACCATTTCAAATTTAAAATGAAATTGAATGTAAAATCTGAAATACCGCTGCATACGCACTGTGTTCTGGTAGTAGCTGTAGTCGCCCAGGTGCATCGATTGTACGAAGTGGTCGGTTATACGTCAGATACTAACCTGGCGAGCTTGGTTGTAAATCAGAGAGCGCCTCCAAAAAACAAGTAAACAACAGTGGCGCGTACAGAGGTAAAATGTAGTACATATGTGGAATTTAAAAAACAAATTGGATTTATAATAAATTACATTTAAAATAAATAGTTTATGAGAATAAAGGAATTTTTGTAGGAACAAGGGTGCCAGACGTGAACTGATCCCCTCTTTCCTTCATAATGTATAAAGAAATTATTCAATTTCTAAAACCCTTAAAAGTGTACTGCAATGGATCCCTTGACAGGCAATGATTTATTACTTTGCATCGAATATGATGCTACTATAGTCCTTTTTAAATTATAAGCGATCACGCTTAAGTATCCGTCATTTCTCAACCTACCACACAACGCAAACTTATGGAGAATATTTTAAGAGTAAATAAATCGAGGTGCGAAAATCAGACTGGCGAAAACATGTTTTGCAAATAAAATATTTTTTGTATAACTTACTGACTTACCATATTAACACGATGAAAACTTTTTTGGGACCACTGACTCCACCGATAACTCTGTTCTGTATGCCTTTTTAAAAATCGTTGTGCATAAAGATGTGCAGCTAATTCTCAGATTCCATCAGCGTTTCCATACATTACCACAGTATCCACTCATTCACTGTTGCTGTAGTGAAGGGCCATTTTAGTATGTTTGTTCGTACACCACAGGTGACTGTAATTTCATAATTATGTAATTTTTTATGTAGTACGTAACTCGGGGATGATTCCAGAGGTTCTCAATCAGTTTTAACAACTTTGATTTACATCAATTTTAAGCAGCATTTTGCTATTTCAAAATTTGTTGGCCAATGAAAATGCTTATTATTTAAAGATCCTGTCCAAGTTTGGAAAAACTAAGTATAATGTAAAGAAAATAATTTAAATACCCTTACTTCTTATTTACTTTTTCATCTAAACAGCTTCACTGTTTTTAAAACATAGTCATATTCTTTACACTTTCAAAATTTTACAAATGTTAAAGATATACAGGGTGTGTAATATAAAGAAGCTTATGCATGGCACCATAAAGTCTCTCTACAAAAGGAAATTGATAAACAATTAAAACAAAAATTAATTGACACATTTTTATAATTCTTTCAAAAGATTTGTTTAACACATATATGAATACTTTTGGCTATAGATTATTTTTGTGGAAAGAGTGGGATATAATTACTAAAAAATATTGTTGTGTACATTATGCTTGTTTTATCAAAAAATTATACAAATCACTGAAAAACAGTTTCTAAATTAATTATAAAAACAAATACATAATATTTATTCTACTCCAATATACAATACTGCTGCTATTATCGGCCGTTGTTGGTATTGCCATCTAGGCCAAAGAAACAATAACTATTGAGTTGCTCTTCTATTTAACAAAAATTCCTAAAAATACCTAACCAGCCGACTATTTAAATTGTATTTTCTTCATTGCTTCAGGTAACCTTCTGGTTATTCTTGTAGTGACTCTAAGTAGGAGACTGAGGTCAATTACGAATTTCTTCCTTGCCAACTTAGCAGTAGCGGACTTCTTTGTTGCTGTGTTCTGCGTCTACCAGAATCTATTCATCTACATCGTTGACAGGTGGGTGAAACTTACAAACAGAATATGTCCTGTATTACTTTTGAGTTGATTACAGACCAGGCGGGATCTATTTTGACATAGATGTTTTATATAGTATCGCTAATTTTTGCTTTAATGGCTCCAAAATTATATAACAAAACATAATTTCACTATGCGCGCGCTTCAAAATGTTTGTTATTAAACAAATAGTGAAAAAAATTTAAAAAAATTCCGTTTTTTTTCCTCTTTTTTTCAATGCAGTTCAAAAACTATTAATTTTAGAGAAAAATTGAAGAGGAATTAAATTTTATATATGATATACCTATTTTCAAATAAAAAAATACAACATAATTATTGCAAATATAGAAGAAACAACATAATTCTTAAAACTGTCAGAATATGAACAAAAAGAATTGGCACTATTATGTTTTTTGACAAATAAGAATTTTTTATTAATTTTGGCGTTACTTGTATAGGGCGTCAGTTATGCCCTATTTCTATTCATTGTTTAATAAAAATATACGTAATTTTTTAATAAATGATTTCTATTGCACATCTATTATTTTGATACATTTTTTGCAACGTCTGTACTGATCAATACATAAAAGATGTACTTAAGAAAGTTTTTATAATTTCTTTGGGCCCTCGTGGGTAAGTGATGATGGCTTTTTGCGAACCCTGTCGCTAAATATTCTCTGAATCGCGCAAACAGCCTAAGAAGTGGATATATTACCTCCTACACGTATATATCTGATGTTGCTCCCTCTTGCTGCTTTTATAATAAATATTCTTCGGAATATTCCTGTTAACAACCTCTTAAGAACAGCCTCCGAATGCCAAATATTGATTTCAGAAAGTTGCTTCAATGATTCAGAAAAATATTTAACTTATTCGAAATACGAAAACAAAAACCTTTCATAAATTAAATTATTTTTAGAAAATATCCGTTACGCATTATTAAAATTTATCACGCCAGTGGCCCACTATGGATTATACAAACTTTCAGGACAGTGTACTCTTGTTAATACAATAAAAAAACAAGGGTATCTAATAGTCCAACCAAATTACACTTGGAGAAAAAAAAATTGTTACCTGGACTTTTATAAGTGGAAATGGCAAAAGGGCTTATAATAAACCTAAAAAAAATAAATGCGTGAGCAGGGGCGACGGAGGGTTCATTTGGGGGGTTGAAAAGTTATGAAAAATTGTATCATTAGGATTTCTGGCGAAAGTTGACGTCAAACAAAAAAGTATCCAATTACAAAAGTTGTAGACCATGCAAAAATCTACAACTTTTGTAGAGGTCACTTTCAACATAACCTCAAAATTTCCAGGTTTTTACCTGATTTTTCGTTTTATGTTTCTAATTTCCGCAAAAATAATTTAATTTTGACGAAACTTGGTGAAAGTATACCTTTCTCTGTCTTAATTAACCTCAGATTTTTTTAGATAAAAAAATCAAAAAGTTTCTGAGATATTCATTTTTTTCGGTCTGAAACACTTTTTTTTCAAAGAAAAGTTCTACTTAAAACAATCATCGTACAGAGTTCTGCCGGTAATAATTTTTTTCGTTTTGACATATACTTTTTGGTGAAATAAAAAAATCTGTAATAACATTTCAAAAACATACTCAAAAATGCAAAAAAATAAAAAATGAAATGGCCCGTCGAAGACGAAACGTGGGAATGTAAAAATGTTGACGCCATTGGATAGAGCGAAAAAAGTGGCAATGTAAATATGCAATTTATTTCAAATTCGTTTTCAAATAAAGCCAGAAAAAAATTTAACGATTTAACAAAATTTCGGGTTTTCGGATTTCGCGTCAACAGTATACTTTGCAGTTAATACTTTATATTGCTGAAATCTCAAATCATCCTGAAATAATTTATTATTTGTGCAAAAAATTAATATCTCAGAAACTTCTTGATTTTTTTATCTAAAAAAATGTGAGGTTATTTAAGATAAAGAAAAGTATAATTTCACAAAGTTTCATCAAAATTAAATTATTTTTGCGGAAATGAGATATAAAAAACGAAAAATCAGAAAAAAACCTGTTTTTCGCATTTTTTTCGGAAATTTTGAGGTTATGTTAAAAAGTGACCTCTACAAAAGTTGTAGATCTTTGCATGATCTACAACTTTTGTATTGGATACTTTTTGTTTGACGTCAACTTTCGCCAGAAATCCCAAAGATACAATTTTTCATAACTTTTCAACACCCCAAATCAATCCTCGGCCGCCCCTGCCCACGCATTTATTTTTTTTTTTCGTTTATCATAAGCCCCTTTACCATTTCCACTTATAAAAGTCCAGGTAACAATTTTCTTTTTTTTCCCTCTAAATGAGTTATTTTGATCGGTCTATAATGATTTTTTCTAAAACTAAAACTGCCAAATAGGCGAACTGTCACATTGTTTTCTTCACAATTAGATTTTGTTTTAGTTTCTGTCTTACACGTTCAATCATAGCGGATTTATTACATCCATTACATTTTATTGTCACGTTTGTTACAGCTGGATGCTAGAAGATTTCCTGTGCAAGATGTACATGTTCATCCAATCTCTGAGCAACACGGCGAGCATATTCATCTTGGTGGTGATATGCACGGAGCGTTATTTCGCCATAATTTATCCAATAACCTGCAAGCAAATCCTTACTCCATTTAGGTTGAAGGTAAGCCGTGTATACGTGGCTAACGCTGAACTCTGACGTTGAAGCTTAACTCGTAAGCCCAAGAACACCACTTTGCCCAAAGTAAAGATGCTTCAGAGCTATATACAGGCTGTTACAAATTCGCTTCCGCTTCGCACTACAGAGATCTCGGCAATGGTAAGAGATACAAACTAGTTCAAGTGGGGCAAAGTTGCGTAATCAGGGGACCAACCTCTAAAAAATCAGTGCTAACATGATAAGTTTTCGAAATATTTGAAAAAAAAGAAACAAAATTTTGTAAATCCGTTTTTGTTTGATATCAGCCTTTTTTGATGTGATATTGAAAAGAGAACACTTTCTCATTGCAACTTTTTGTCCTCTATCGAATGGCATAATCAGTTTTTATATGTAACGTTTCGTCTTTCTAGGACAATCATCAACTTCATTTTTTAAATGGAAATTTTATTACATTTTTTGCAAACTTTCATTACTCTCAATAGTTTACTGCCTTAGCCCTAACCAGATTCAAACGTTTTGTCTCGAAAAACTCGGGATGAGTATTGCGGATGATGAAGGCTTGTAAAAAATGTAATGTATTTAAAAAAATTAAGTTAAGATGAAACGTTACATATAAAAATTGATTATGTCATTCGATAGAGAACAAAAAATTACCATGAGAAAGTATTCTTCTTTTTTCAATATCACCTCAGGCAATGCTGAAATAAAACAAAAACGGATTTCCAAAATTTCGATTTTTTCAAATATTTCGAAAACTAATCATGTTAGCCTTCATTTTTTAGAGGCATAATGTTAGTCCCCCGATTACACAACCTTGCCCCCATTTAAGCTAGTTCGTATCTCTTACCGTTTCCGAAATCAGTGTAGTGAGAAGCGAACTTGTAACAGCCTGTATACAGGGTCCTTCACGGTAAGTGGCCTATTAGACATTTCAGAGGAATCAAAGACAATATGACTGCAATTTTGTTTACGGGGGTTATCAGATGTGTTCTCTTCAATGAAAATAATGCTATCAACGTAGCATTTCCGGTTATACCGGATGTACCTGTCAATTTCCTATATATTATTGCGTTATCGACAAGATAAATTAAAAATAAGTCAAAAATGTTAAAGCTTCCCTGCACCTAAATATAACCGTTTTCGAGATAATCGTCATTTTACAAAAAATTTGGCAATCATTTCGAAAATTCCTTATATCTTTCTTCGTTCTGGGAGCTTACACTTGCTTTTCGGAATACACAAAGAACATGAGATGCACTACATTTCGCTATCAAAATTACCTGAAGAAAATTATACCAAGTGTCTCATTTTTCACGTTACACTTTGAAAACTTAAAACCGACAAAACTCTTTAAATTAAAATGGAACACCCTGTATTTTTCCTCATCATATTATAGAAAATCAAATTCTCTTTTCACCGACATAGGTATCGTAGGGGTTACAGTTTCAATTTCCTCAGATATTTGCGGTTTACTTACATTTTCAAGAATATTATGTTAAAATATCATCAAATGTACCTTGAAAGGTAAATATTAGTATTGTCATTCAGTATTCTACAAGTATCAAGTACTTTCTCGACAAGAAGATATTTTGAATTTATTTTAAATCCATGGACATTCACCATGAATCAGTATTAGCTACATTTCTATGATTTGCTATTTTGCAAAATTTGAAGAATTGGACGCGAATGAAATTCGGCCATCTACGTACAATAGTGTTCTTTGTAGAACATTGATTTTTTTTCATAATTACATTAATAAAGTGAGTTGTTTCACGTTTGTTACATCTTTTAAATAATGAAGGGGTATATTTACAAAAAATAATACCTAATAAGATTTCCTTTCATTGAGATTAGCAACTGCAAGTACAATAAAGAGCAAATAAGCATCCCTTCATTCAGAAAACAATGAAATGTAAAGTAACTAAAATTTTAAAGTATAGTATACTCTCAACTTCATTCCAAATCTCATAAAATTATAATAATTTATTAGTTATTTGAAATTATCTTATTTATTGTCTTTGCAATTCTTTAAAAACTTTTACATCATTAAAAATTAGAGAAAAATTTTAAGAAAACCAACCGAAATCATTTCATTAATTGTGCCAGTTGCAAAATACCCCGTCATAGAAATACAGCTACCACGGATTCTACGGAATAAATTCAAAATATCTTCATCAGAATAATTATTCTGCATTTTTGCATTTTGTCGAGGAAGTACTTGATACTCTTGTAGAATACTGAATGACAATACTAATATTTGCCTTTCATGGCACTTTTGATGATATTTTTAACATAATATTCTTGAGAATGTAAGTAAACCGCAATTATCTGAGAAAATTGAAACTGTAACCCCCACAATGCCTATATCCGTGAAAAGAGAATTTGATTTTCTATAATATGATGCAGAAAGATACAGGGTGTTCTATTTGAATTTAAAAAGTTTTGTCGGTTTTAAGTTTTCAAAATGTAACGTGAAAAATGAGACACTTAATATAATTTTCGTCAGGTAATTTTGATAGAAGCTAATGCATCTTATGTTCTTTTTGTATTCCGAAAAGCAAGTGGAAGCTGCCAGAACGAAGAAATATACAGGGTGTTTCATAATATATGCGCAGGACTTCAGGATGTGATAGCTCGTCCAAAAATTTGAAAAAAAATTTGTATTAACTTACCCTCAAAAATGCACAATTTTCGAGATACATGGTGTTAAAATTCTAAAAAAAAATTCGTTTTTTGCGAATATCTCCGGAACCGTTTATCGTACAGAAAACAGCTTTTGTAAGCATTTACTACTCATAATAAGCTATGTTATGTGCGAAAAAAAATTTTTTTCAGTCATAATTGGTGAAGATTTTGAAGGGGAAGTGGGTGTTTTTCTCCCCAACTTCTACGCCACTGGAAAAAGTACGGTTTTGAGACGCCCATTTGAACCGCCTATGTTTTCTACACAAAAAAGTACTCATAAGCTCTAAAGTTGACCGTTTTCGAGAAAAATCTACTTTTATGTTGAAAAACATGGTAAATTTTTTGAAATAAAATTTTTTTACTAATTAAACTAAATTTATTTAATCGTTAGAACAAGTAACAAAACCAAACGTTAACTTCATAGTTGCAAAATTTAAAAAAAAAAACAAAACAAATCGTACACAGTTAAATTAAATGTTGGAAATGTCCTCCGTTAGCTTCAATGCACGCAGCAATTCTTCGACGCATTGACTGTCTAACACGCAAAAAAAATTCCGGAGTGTTCCGAATTATGTCGCAAGATGCAACAATGCACTCTCTTAATTGATCAACATTTTCAACTGGAGTAGCGAAGACTAGGGTTTTGAGATGGCCCCAAAAGAAAAAATCTAAACAATTAAGTTCGGGAGATCGCGGGGGCCAAGGGTGGGGACCTCCTCGACCGATCCGACGGTCTTGGTATTAGTCGTCCAAGTATTGGCGAGCAACCAAACTAAAGTGGGCCGGAGCTCCATCATGCATAAAGTACATGTTTTGTCTTACTTGAAGCGGTACATCTTCCAGCAGTTCCGGCAGTACTTCTTCTAGAAATTGTCGATAATCTGCACCGTTTAATCTGTTCGGTAAAAAATGTGGGCCTATCAAATGATCACCGACGATGCCAGCCCAAACATTCACGGAAAATTGTTGCTGATGATTGCCTTCTGCAATTTCATGTGGATTTTCTTCAGCCCATATGTGGTTATTGTGAAAATTGAAAATACCATCTCTCGAGAAAGATGCTTCATCGGTAAACATAACTTCGGCTCCAAACTGAGGATTTTGAGCTATTTTGTCTTGCATCCATCTACAAAAAGCCAATCTTGGCGGAAAATCTCTTGGCAATAAGGCTTGTACTCTTTGGATATGGTAGGGATACAAAAGTTGTCTTTTCAAAATTCTCCAAACCGTCGAGTGAGGTATGTTTAAGTTGTGAGCAATTTTTCTGGTACTTGTGATCGGATTTTCTTCAATTTCGTTGAGGACAGCCTCTTCTACTTGGGCATTTGCAGCTTCCATAGGCCGCCCATTATCAGCAGTATTCTTTTTAAAACTTCCATTTTCCCATAGTCGTTGGTGAATGCGTTGAAACAAGTTATGATGTGGTACTTGGCGATCACGATGTCTTTCTTGATACAACCGCCTTGCTTCTGCCGAATTACCGCTCGCCATTCCGTAAAGGTAATGCATTTCGCACATTTCAGCGTTTGTGTAATTCATTTTTACTTTTGTAATACAAATTGACTTTTCGCAGGTACAAACTAATTGTTATTTTGACAGGAGGTAGCTTTTGTTTTAAAATTTAAAGCCTACTTGATAAAAAAAATTATAATACATTTAGTAAAATAAAAATTTTATTTAAAAAAATTGACCATGTTTTTCAACATAAAAGTAGATTTTTCTCGAAAACGGTCAACTTAAGAGCTTATGACCAAGAGTACAGTTTTTGTGTAGAAAACATTGGCGGTTCAAATGGGCGTCTCAAAACCGTACTTTTTCCAGTGGCGTAGAAGTTGGGGAGAAAAACACCCACTTCCCCTTCAAAATCTTCACCAATTATGACTTTGAAAAAATTTTTTTCTCGCGCAGAACATAGCTTATTATGAGTAGTAAATGCTTACAAAAGCTGTTTTCTGTACGATAAACGGTTCCGGAGATATTCGCAAAAAACGAAATTTTTTTTACAATTTCAACACCCTGTATCTCGAAAATTGTGCATTTTAGAGGGTAAGTTAATACAAGCTTTTTTTCAAATTTTTGGACGAGCTATCACATCCTGAAGTCCTGCGCATATATTATGAAACACCCTGTATAAGGAATTTTCGAAACGCTTGCATCTGTCAACATTTTTATAAAATTATCTCGAAAATGGTTATATTTAGGTACAGGTAAGCTGTAACAATTTTGACTTATCTTTAATTTAACTTGTCGAAGTGCTACGTTGATGGCATTATTTGCTTTGAAGAGAACATATTCTATAACCACAGTAAACAAACTTT